GAGGGACTGCAACAACTTACCTCTGTGTATTCAATCACTTGTGAAAAATTCCTTCCGTTGACTGGCAGACCTGTTGTCCCCAGTCTTCAATAAACAAAGAAGGGTGGAACAAAGTTATACTTTCCATGTTATGTGACCCCAAACCACTTCAGCGTAGTTCACAATAATACTTAGCATACTTTTATCCTACCTGAAGTACTTCATGGCAAAGTCAGCCATCGGTGAGTTCACCTCTAAGTTGAGGACTGAGCCCTGCATTGAGCTCTGTTGTGATCTCTGGAGAGATCCATGCACCAAACCGTGGGGTGAAGCCTCTCTTCCAGGCTGCTTTGAATTAGGGCTGCCCATGTGTCTGTTGATGAGAGCTGGAGATGGAACTTTGGGTGGGCTGACAGTCTTCCTCATGCTTTTCCTCTTCTCATCTCTGTTTAGATTGAGACAGTGGTAGTCTGGGGCTGCAGATGGCTGGGTGAGGCCTTCTGGAAAAAGACCAGAACGTCCTCCCTTGTTGCCAAAACGCCAGCCTGGTGAAACAGACAAATCTAATTAGACTGGAAACAATGAAAATAATATGTGTCTTAGTAACTAACATGACTTTACCTGGCTCTAGCCCTTCCATTGGCAGCAGTTTGATTATATCACCCTTATTGAAGCTGAGTAGACTCTTGTCATCTGTTACAAAACTCTTCAGGGCAACTACATGGTTTGAGTCCTAAAGGGAGGAGTGAGAGATGAACTAAAATTGAAGAGGCTCTAAAGACAAGGAGATTGTGAATATAAGCTGAAAACCTTTAAAATTATCGACCATGGAATGAACTATGATTATAAAAAGAGTACCTTGATGAGTTCCAGGATGAATGACTGAATCATAGCAATGATCTGAGGAGCCCTGCGTGACTGCAACACCAGTTTTTCACTCTTCAGCTTCAGAGCCACTGTGTCTTCACCCTGAAGTTCAGCTGACAGCACCTCTGCAAAACTTTATTCATGAAGACCCACGTTAACATTTAGTGCAATAACCAACAGCAACAATGAATTAAAATATCAAAGATGTAGCAAAAACGTCCATAAGGAATAGCACACGAGACCTGTGATAGTTATTACCATAGCAACTTAATCTAGCTGATGAAAACAGTGGAACAATATAGCTGCTGATATCTTGGGAGCGTGAACTTTGGACTGTACTTGAAAGCCACGTTATGAAAACGACTGACAGGCAAAGTTAACAATGTTTGTTTTCGTGGCCATGACGTGTTTTTCACTGAGCTGCATGGGAGAGGTGGTGTTGGCCAATTTAGGGGCAGTTCCAGGTCAGGCTGGCATATTTTGCTAATGAGGATGATAAATAAATAAATAATATT